GGACCACGTGTCGCGCAACGGTGGCAAGAGTCGTTGGATGGGTGCTCTACTTCCGGTGGCCGATCGATGGTCCGCGCTCCGATCGATTGGTACCTCGAGTACTCGATCGGAGTTAGGTCTCATGGTGGAACGTATTCTTTGTAATTCGGCTCCGGTGGTCGGGGATCTACATCCCTTGCTCCTTCCTGTGTCGTTGGGAAAGCGTTCAACCATTAGAAGACCGCTGTCGTAACCCTCGATTGGTCACGACTGGCGAGTATCATCCGTCCAACGATCCTCGTAAGCCCGCTGATGTAAGTCGTGATACGAGGATCATAGTTGTTCAGAGGAGGGTAGTTTTTTGAGTTTCTTCTTCTTCTTTTTCCGTCGTGTCTTGGTCTTCGATATTATTTCTGTAAGCTGGGTTTTTTCTTTTTTTCCCCTTTCGAGGATTATAGTTTATTATTTTTAAATTAAATTGCTAATGGCAAATATTTCAATGTTTTCTTCTTTCGCTTTAAGTTAAGAGGAGAGTATTCTTGATAGGGATACGATTGTAGATTTTAAACGTTAGTATTAGTTAGTATTAAGATTTAGATTAAGTTAGTTTAAGATTTCATCGATGGACGACGTGGGAATTTTTTAGATTTTAATCTTTTATTGTAATTTATTTATAATATAAGCGATCATTGTAAAAATTTATTGTTATAAATTTATTGTAATTTAGTGTAAGTGATAAATTGTAATGATCATTGTAAAAATTTATTGTAAATAATTGTTATGTTAATTTTGTCTTTTTATGTTTCAGATTTTTTCTACATGTATTTATAACTTTATATTAATTTCTTTTTTTATATTATTCATGTTTTATGTTACTGTTTTATTATCTATGTTGTAATTTAATTTATGTTTCCAATTTGTTTAATTCGTTTAATTTTTTCTTTATTTCAGATTTTTATTTAACGTTATAAATTTATTTCGATATTTTATATATATATTTTTTTCTCTCTTTTTTTTTCAGGACGGGTCTCGACGCGTAGTCACCTCCCCGTGGTGAGACCTGGTAATTGAAATCGATTTTCATAGATTATTCTTCGAAAAATTTTCAATATTATCTTTGAAAATTGTTCAAAGTTTAATTTTTGAAAAATCGATATCGAGCTAAGAACTACGCAGTACCTGCAATTCAATCTAGATCACAATGCCAAATTCCCTTCGGGTATTTTGGTCATTTAGAGCATCCTGAGATGCACGTCCCCTAAATTTAAATCTTAGTTTCAAGTACACGATAAGATAGATAATTTATTAATCTTATTAATAATAATTAATTATTAATATTATTAATTTATTATTTATTATATTAAAATTACTGTGAGCATATTCCGTACAAAGATACGCTTCCTAAATTATATAATGAAAAATAAAAATCTCGCCAATTATGAAATATCTGTTCGAATATTCTAATATCTAATATATTCTTCGCTTTTCCTCGAGTTCGAAATTTAATAATCGAATATTCCCTCGAATTCGAAATCGAATTTATTGGCGACCACGTGTGGCGCAACAGTTGCATGGGAGGAATCCTTGGATGGGTGATCTACTTCAGTGTCCAGTCGATGATGGCGCTTCTATCGATTAATATCCTCGAATATTCGATTTCGTGGGCGAACGTCGTTCTCGTAAATCGACTCTGATGATAGAAAATCTATCCTTTTTCAAAACGTAAGTCGTTTCTTCCTTCGTTGTCATAATCCTCGACTGGTCACGAATATCATCTGTCCATCCACTCTCTTGAGTCAACTGACGTAAGCGATATTGGGGGCGGTAGTTGATTGTTTTGTTTCTTGATTGATTTGTTCCTTTCATTTTTCTTTCTCTTTCCTTCTTTTGGATTTTATTTTTCTTCCATTGGACTTCTTTTTTCTTTCTCTTTCTTTCTTTCTTATTTTCTTCTGGATTTTATTTTTCTTCCACTGGACTTCTTTTTAATAAGGGAATAGTTTTTTAATAAAGAATAGTATTGTTTTGCTTTAAATTAGGATATTGATATTGATATCATACAGACGCTGTAAATTTTTTGGATCTTAATATTTTTTAATATTATAATATAATTTTAATATTAGAGTCTAAATTAAGTTAGTTTAAAATCTCATCGATGGAATTTAATTTTTAATTTAGATTTTTTAATTATTCAAAGTTGTATCTAATTGTAGTTAATTTTTATATTAAAATTTGATTTATATTTCAGCGCATTCATTTGATTTATATATCTTCAATTTTTTTCTTATATTTCAGGTTTTATAGATTTTTTTTTAATTCTTTTATATAATTATATTTTTTTATATAGTTATATTTGCATTTTTATATTAAATTTCTTTAATATATTTTAAATATGTAAAATTTTATTTGGTTAATTTTTATATTTTATATTGTTGTATATATATTTTTATAATTTTTCTATTTTAATTGTTTTTTTTTTACAGATGGGTCTCGATGCGTAGTCACCTCCTCGTCGGTGAGACCCGGTAATTGGTATCAATTTTCATATCGATTTTTTTTGAAAATTTTTTAAAGATTAATTTTTGGAAAATTAATTTTTAGAAAATCGATACCAAGCTAAGAACTACGCAATATCTGTAGTCCAGTTTAAACATTCCATAGTTCGACTTAATTATTTTTAATTATTATAAACTGGACTACAGATATTAAAATTTATATAAAATTAATAATTTTTTTAAATAATTTTTTGTTTTAATTGTAATAGACAGTCAATATTAGTTTTTAAAATATTCGCAAAAATCTTTTAATAATATTGTATTGATTTCTATCTATAATATATAAAATACATAATATGAAAAATACATAATATATATTAAATAGACTATTAAAATTTTTAATCAAGAAATTTAAGCAAAAAAAATAATAAAATTAATCAAATTCGTTTCTTCCGCGCAGAGCAAATATAAATAAAGGGTAAATAGTAAGAGAAAGATAGAGATATGATAAAAATTGTACAAGTGGCGCCATCTCTGGAGTAGATGAAACTATATATAGATAAAGAGAACAAATTGTACAAGTGGCGCCATCTCTAGATGAAACTACACATAGACAAAGAGAACAAATTGTACAAGTGGCGCCATCTCTGGAGTAAATGAAAATATATATAGACAAAGAGAACAAATAATGAAACAAAGACAGAAATAGCAAACAAATAACTACCAGCGCCATCTCCCGAGTAAATTAAAATTAGCTCTTCAAAAAGTTTCTCTTGACTCTTAAGAGATGGCGCTAATAGTCAATTCTTGTTGTATCTTTATCCTTCTCATATTATTTTC